CATTTGATGTATGCTATTGTTTAATTCAGATGTCTGTCTGTTAATTCTCTGAACTGTTGACCTATCTAATGGGGATAATAGGGTATTGAAGTCCTCAACTATTAATGAGTTGGGATTAATCTGGGTCTTAATGTCCTGTAGTACTGTTTTTATGAAGTTGGGTGTACCAGAGTTTGGTGAATATATAGTCATGATTGTAATATCTTCTTGGTCAGTTGTTCCTTTGATAAGAATGAAGTGGCCCTCTTTATCTCTTCTGATTAGTTTTAGTTAGAAGTCTATTTTGTCAAATATTAGAATTGCAACTTCTGCTTTTTTCTTAGTACCATTTGCTAGGAATATTTTTTCCATCATTTCACCTTAAGGTAGTGCTTGTCCTTGAAAGTGAGATGGGTTTCTTGCAGACAACAAAAAGACAGGTTTTGTGTCTTAATCCACTCAACTAGTCCTTGTCTTTTGACTGGATAATTCAGACCATTGATATTTAACATTATTAATGAAAGATGTGTATTGAATTTTGTCATTTTTATTTCTGTTTACATCCTTGATATAGCTATACTTTTCCACAGTTATACCTTCACTGAATTTCTTTCCACAATCCCTTGGGTATAGTTGTTTTTCTCTCTGCTCTCTATTATTGCTTCAAGTATTCTTCGAAGGGCTGGTTTAGTGGACATGTATTCTTTTAGGCTATTCCTGTCATGGAAGGTTTTTCTTCCCCCCTCAACTATAATAGGCATTTTTGCTGGGTAAAGAATTCTGGGCTGGCATCTATTGTCATATAGAAGTTGGAATACTTTGGTCCAGGCTCTTCTGGCTTTTATAGTTTGCGCTGAAAAGTCAGCTGTAATCCTAATGGGTTTTCCTTTATATGTGACTTGTTTCTCTTTTGCAGCTTTCAGAATTGTCTCTTTGTTCTGTATGTTTAGTGTTTTTACTATGTTGTGCTGTGGAGAGTTTCTTTTCTGGTCCTGTCTGTTTGGTGTTCTATATGCTTCTTGTATTTGTATGGGTATGTCTTTCTTTAATTTTGGGAAATTTTCTTCTACAATTCTGTTGAAGATCTGGTCCATACCATTATCTTGGGATTCTTCTCCTTCCTGTATGCCTATGGTGTGTAAATTTGGTCTTTTTATGGTGTCATACAATTCCTACATATTCCATTCTTGTGTTTTCTTAAATTTTTCATAATCTTTGCTTGAGTGGTCTAATTCTTCCACTTTATCTTTCAGCCTTGATACTCTGTTTCCCATTTCATTCTTTCTATTGTTGAGGCTTTCTCCTATCATTTCTAATTGATTTATTATTTCACTTCCTTTTTCATTGCAGCCTGAGTAGTCTTCAATATTTCTAACTCTTTTCTGAATTCATTCAGAAGTCTATCCCTATCTTCCTTCAGTTCTTTGATTTCTTTCTTTGTGTGTTCTTTAAATTCACTGAATTCTTTTATCATGTTTATAATTGTTCTTTTCAATTGCATGTCCTGTGTTATCTCTAGGGGGTTCTCTTTGTACTCCTTTACAGGACTTTTGGTACTTTGTGGGGGTGTATTATTTTGGTTTTTCATGTTATTATTTTTTCACTGTGACTTTGACATGTGGATTTCTTTTGTGTTTCTGGCCTTTGTTGAGTTTAGGTCTGCTCCTGTTTGTAAACTTTATGTGCCCTTGTGGTTTACTTGTTGGACATGAAAAGCTGGTTGGTCTAGGCTTCAGTTTCTCTCTTTTGATTTTATATTGGAGGGGCCGGATGGCTTTAGTTCTGCTGCTCAGGAATTCCAACAGAGGCCCGAGTTGGATAAGGATCAGATGCTCTCATGCTTTTTCCTGGATCCCTCTAGTCAGCAGGCACAGTACAGTTTGGGAGGGTTGCTAGGTAGAGGTAGGATTCAGGACTCTCAGGCAGTCAGGTAAGGAGGCTGGTCTCAGCAATCCAGGTTGGGGCTGGGACAGCCAGGGATGAAGGCTGGTCTCAGGCACACAAAGATGAGGTTGGTGAGAAAACCAGCTTTGAGGGCTCCAGGGGACTAAACTAAGGAATTGGGTTGGTCTGGTTGCAAAGGATCAGGAAGCAGTGGGGAGTCTGGGCCAAGAGGGTAGTCCAGAGGTCTGGGGTGCCAAGAGAAGAAATGGGCCAGTGTCCACACTAGGAGGAGAGACAGGGTGGGGGAGCTGGGAAGGTGAATGAGGTTGTCACCCCTAAGATTTTTTTATAAGCTACTGATACCACTGGTCCTTTCCTCTGCCAACTTGCCAGCCTGAAAAAAATTGGCTTACAGATGGATATCTCTGCATTAGCTGTTTCCTGTTTTGACTTTTACACCATGAAGGTTATCAGTCCCGTAAACCATCCCTCTCATTCAGGAAATTCACCACCTGGGTGGTAAGTGTTGTTCTAGGTCCTGGGTATTTACTGTCAATAAGACAATTTCCTTGCCTTAGAGGAGTTTCATTGTAGAAGACATATCTGAAACAAGTGTATGTAATAACATAGAGTTCTGCTGTAAGAGAGGAATGCATAGGCCATCAGGGGCCCCAAGGCAAGTTCTCGATTGTGCAGGACAGGACGATGGATGTCAGGGGCTTCATTTCAAGGAGGAATGGTTGCCTGGAGCTGTGAACACACCATGGCCAGACTATATTAGATTAATTGTGAAGGGGAGTGATGGAGAGCCTCACAAACAGACGCACATTAATGGTTCTTTCTACTGTGCAGTTGGAAAAGTCCAGAAAGATAATGATCCCTTGATCGTGATATCCTTTCTTATTTTCTGTCTTCCTCCTCTCATCCCCCTGGTGCCAGCTTCCTTTATAGCATTGAGTAGAGCAATCGTCATCTGGCATAGCACCTAATGTACTTATTAGGTGCCTAAAATGTGCTAAATAAATGACAAGATCGACTGGTCATTCTACAGGTTAAGAGCAGGTTTTGCCCTGCTCTTATCACTACCTGCTTTGTACAGTAATACTAACCCTGTATTCTAGATTACAGTCTTTCTTTTCTTTTCTTTTTTTTCTTTGTCTTTTTGAGACAGAGTCTCCCTGTAGCCCCAGCTGGCCTGGAACTCACTATGTAGACCAGGCTGGTCTCGAACTCACAAAGATCCACCTGCTTCTGCCTCCTAAGTGCTGGAATTAAAAGGTGTGCACCACCACACCCGGCTCACGGCCTTTCTTTTTAAAAAGTATACATGTTGAAGCCCCAGGAAGAAAGGCCAGACTTTGTTGAAACTCATAATGAAGTCATTAGATGGGGGGAGTCTAGAAAGATAGACTGTGATCTTCTTGTGCTTGGTTTAGAAATGCACGTGCTTTAGTTTAAACAACTGTTTCCACATTGACGGTCTTGGTTTAAAGAGGTACAGGAGTAATATGAACGGGTTAAACTTCTTTAGTGACCACAATTTGACTTTTCCTGGCAATTCTGGGTGGGTTCCTCTGCAAGGGACTCTGTAGCCCCGGTAGCCTTCATTAGCCCGGTGGGTGGGGAGTGCCAGCCCTCTTCTCTTTACTGTCCGTTTTATCTTCCAGCATACCACATTAGTGTTTGTAAAAGTCTTTGTACTTTGGTTTTCAACTGAAAGCAAAACTCAAAGTACCTCACCTTTGCAGCTCAGCAAGGGCATTCCCAGTGGTCAGTGCCTAGCAGGCTCCTTCCAGGAATGACCTTGTGAAAATATGCCCCCGTGTCCACAGATCCACTTCCTCTCACTACCCACCTTCCAGTCCCAACATTTCAGTATTTTAGTTTGTTTCCTTTCTTTTCTACCTGTAAAGTATAGGCCAGCCTCCTGGGACATACACATGTACACACACACACACACACATACACATACACACACACACACACACACACACACACACACACAGCTCTCCTCCCAAGTACCAAAAGCTAGTTATCAACATTACATATTGGTGCCTTAAGGAAGAAGGCGTTGGTTTCCTAACAACCACATGGTTTGTCCAACTCTCTACCAGTCTGGATGTATTATGTAAAATTTATGTAACTCACTGCTCTCTCCTCTTTGTCCCTACCTTCTTGTCCCCATCCATCCAATTTTAGATTTCATTCTGGGAACTGAGAAGGGACTGTTGTGGGCCGCACACTATTCTGCGTCTGTTCTGTAACAATGAAGTGCTTTGCTGTTGCTGTTCCATTTAGGAACAGATTTAACTCCTTATCTAGGACCTGGTTTTACCCTCAGTTTCCAACTAGACATGAGGGAAGGCAGAGGATTAATCTTCCAGGGAAGTAGAGGTAATTGATGACCTGGACACACAATGGCTGGGTCACATGGTCTGACAAAGGATTTGCTGCTTTCTGAATCATGATTCATTTTCATTAAATCTTACAAAGGCATAAAAATCAAGCTGGATTTAAGCATTTTGCAGCTTTTAATGAATCATCATTTCCAAAGAAAAGAAAAACTTACACAGATTCTCAAAATTCAGCCAGCATGGTCATCACAGTTTTATGATATATATGCAAATTATGTATGAAATATGTTCAAGTCCTTAGAGCATTTTTTTATAAAACAAGCTTGAACATTGCAGCCATGTATCCTGGTGAGGCCAAAATTGGGCAAAGGCAGAGCTGAATGCCAAATGATAATTTCTGCTAAATAATTCAGGCCTGTGAACTCTGATATTTTACTTGCTTTAATGAGTATAATGGGTGCAATTACCAACTGCTTCCCTCACAGAGCCAGACAATGTGCCTTCACCTAATTGTGGGCTCCACTTTTCTTCGAGTAACTCATATCTGTGAAGTTTCTTATAATCCCAGTGTCTGACTTTTGTAGCCACTAAATAATGTATATTACTGAGTTAGTGATAATTATCGTGAAGAAAAAAATGATTGCATAACTAAAGCCAGGCATGTCTATGAGTCAGCAGTAAGGGAATCTCACGCAGGTGAGAAGTGTCATTTATGAGACGGGGTGGGAAATGCTCAGGCTTGAGTTTCTTTTTGACACTGTCATTTTCCTTCTCCCCCTGCAGGGAAGTGATGCCGACATGGTGGATAAGAATAAGTGCTGTACCCTCTGTAACATGTCTTTTACTTCTGCGGTGGTGGCTGACTCACATTATCAAGGGAAAATCCATGCCAAAAGGTTAAAACTGCTGCTAGGAGAGAAAACGCCCCTGAAGACCACAGGTATGAGTGTGACCAGTGACCCAGAGCAGATGCAGAGCACCATGCACTGTAGCTGTGACACAAATCACCCTCTCTCTTCGGCAGCTTCCAGCACATGGGGTCTAATGTCAGGGCCATTCCGAACCCCCAGGGGTGAATGGGGAGCCCCAGCATATCTCACAGTCATAAGACCATTGAATGCAACTTCAGGGTCCTAGTCATCTTCTGGAATGCTGTTTACATCCTCCAACATGGCTATCACATGTCCTATGTGTCATGTATGATATTTTATGTTATGGTCATCCTAGATTCAGCCTGTACTCTGCATGGATGCTGGATGCTGACTCCTCTTGGTAGGCAGGTCCTCCGCAGGTGTCACCTGTTTCTTATGTTGGTGTGCGGCAAGCAGAGATGAAAACTGTAGTCACAACTACCTAGTGTAGAGACAAGTGAGTTTTTAATGGCATTCCTGTCGTCATTACAGGGGAAGCTGTGATTCAAGCCCATTATCTTTCATCAGTAAAAAAGCTTAAATATTGATATCAGATTACTTGACCTTCTAAATGTTTAATGGAAGAACATCGTCAGAAGTTTATCAAATCATTAAATTAACATGTTGCTATAATTTAGTAATGCAAAAACTATTTGGGCAAGATTTATGTTGTGGTGAAGGTGTTTCCAGCCTGGGTTATAATCCCAAAGACTTGGAAATATTTTTCATTATTTCTACTCTTGCAATGCAATTAAAATTTAGTAGTGCGTTTTGTCTTGCTCTCTAATGAATTGTGCGTAAATCATGGGTATAATTATTTTTTTAGTGGTATTTTGGGAAAGAGAGAGCATCTGAAACAATGCCTGACTTTTACTTCACCAGTGTTTTTCTTGAGAAAATGTCTTCTTTTATCTAGAGAAGAGCATTGCTCTTTTTACTCTGCTTTTCCAGTTAGAGTAAAGCACACTGCTCTCCTGGAGGGGGCTGTGACATTCAGGTGTAGGATGAGTTTATGTGGAGGCAAGCTTTTGGAGGGAGGGGGAGGAGGCACTGCATGATCTGGCCCCGGATAAGCAGTACTCAGTTGAAACTCTTGGTCTCTGAAAGGTTGGTACCCACCTTTGACCTCAGTGTGGAATCTCTTAAAATAGACACCTCAAAGAAACAATCACTAGAAAATTTTTATCTGTTTCCCATGAATGAATAACTGACTGATGTGTTCTCTTTGCGTAAGTGACTTGTGCCGTTACACTTAGTTTAGGAGGCGGTAATGGAAGAAGAGAAGCTGGGTGTTCTCTTTATCGTGTCGATTAGCAAATGGGTCAATTATTATTTCTGTAAAAAAATCATCACATGCCTAAAATAGTTCTTTGTGATTTTGTATCCATTCTCAAAGAAGCCAAGTACCAGGTTATTTTCCTGAATTCAAACACTCCCAGAAATAGTACATAGAACTCAAGGGTAAGTTGTTCATTATCAGTATACTCTGAAGACAGAGACTGTCCTGGTGACTCAGTGGCTAAGGATACTTGCAACCAAGCCTGACAACCTGAGTTCAATCCCTGGGACCCACATGATGGAAGAAGAGAACTTATTCTCTGACCTTACATGTGTGCTGTGACTGTTCCATGCCCCCCAATCAATAAATTTAATAAAAAAACCGTATACACATGCATACACACACAAACACACACAGACACTCAGACACAGACTGACATAGACACAGTCTCCTCTCTCTTTTTCTCTTTTTTTCTCTTTTTCCCCCTCCCCCTCCCCACCCCCTCCCCTCTTCTCTCCAAAATCAAACTCATCTGAAATGCAGCCCTTACCCAGCAGCTTGTCCTTTACTGTCCACGGTGCTGACTTGACCCTGTTCTTACAAAAATCAGGATGCTGCTTAGAACAGAATGAGGGTGAAGAGGAGGTGAATTACTGTCAGCTTGAAGCTTTGGTTGATGGAGGCACACTCTTCATGGCCTAGACTCCCTCTTTCTCATCCAGCTCACAAAGTCCTTCTTCAGCAAGCCTCTCGTCCATCTCCCGATACTGCTTTGTCCAGAAAGGATCTTGGAGGATGGCAGCCACAGACAGATTTGGAGGACTGGAAAACTAAACTGATCCTCGGGCTTGGGTTGGTTCCAGCCATTTGGTAGAAGGTTACATAGAGATAGGAGCTGGGAGGTGTTCCCAAGATAAAAGTTGGAAGGTAGATAAGACAAAAGCTAGCATACACCATGTGGATACATAGAGCATGCGGTCATCAAACAGGACACTGACATTAGGTGACAGCAGGACTTTAATGCAGTCCTGATGTTCTGGGGAAAGAGGAAGGGAAGTCCTTTAAGAGACTAGCAGAAGACCATCAATTAAGAGACAGGTATTAGGCTGGGGACCTAGCAGCAGAGACAAAACAGGACTTGGTATTGGTTGGGGTGTAGTGCCCTCAATCACAAATCCAGTTACTGTAAGTAGAAGGCCAGAACCCAGAGGCCCTGGAGAGTGCCTATCTGGTTTCCAGATGTTCTCTGCCTGGAGCTAGCTATCATTGCTTTCCTTTGCTGACCATAGCTGTACCCAGCAGCAGTGCTCAGAGGGCTCAGTCTTGGAACTGCCCTGTGCACATGCACACCTTGGAACTGTTCTGCCTAATCGCTTGGTTGGCTTGAAATTGTATCTATAATGAAAACAGAATGGAAAAAGTGACATATAAAACCCAACCAACTGAATCATGATGGCAGAGAGAAGGAGCTCCTCTGCTCAAGTACCTCCTCTTATGCTGCCCTGTCACGAACAACAGGCTCTTAAACGCCAGTGATTTCTGGGTAGGAATAATTGGAGCACAACTCAGCACTTCTCTAAGGTACTTTATCTGATGATGATGAACAATCAGGACCTGAGATTCGTTCTTTCCTCCACCTGCCTCTGCTCTCTGCTCAGGGATCCACAGAGCACATATCAGGGCCTGCTGCAGTTTGAGTTGACCATCTGCAAATGAGTTTATGTTCGCTAGATCTTCTCAAATGCTTGGCAGAGCCACCAGAACAGAAACCGGGTCTTCTTGGTTTGTGTCTCAGCATCTCTGCCCGGGACCCTGCTGTGAAGACAGAAACACAAGCAATGACTGGTCCGCTCCATACTCACAGGGCAGAGACCTCAGGGAGCAGATCCTGCAGGCCTGATGCTGCTGTGTCTCACCCTTTGCAGTGGAGACCAGAGAATCCGCACTGTGCAAAAATGAAGAGTCAAACATAGCTGTGTAGTTAGCAGTTCGTCATTCTATCAGATGCCTGAGATGGCAAATGTGTAAAGAAGGCAGGGGGGTTTTAGATCACAGCTTGGGGTCCTAACCCATGAATGGACATTCACATTTATTTAGGCCTCTACTGGGGAGGGAAGACGTCATCTTGGGGGGGTGTGGTGGAGTCAAATTGCCCTTCTCTGGTGTGGAAGAGAAAGGAGTTGGAATCCTATACTGTCCTTCAAAGACCTAATGGCCCAGAGATTTCTTGTTAGCTTATACCTCTTAAAAATTCCATCACCTCCAGCTAGAGAGGTGGGCGTGGGTCAGACCTTTGGGAGAATTTACTATCCAAACTGTAACAAGTAAGCGCCATGAAAATCTTCTTCTTGGAGGACAAGTAAAGGAAGCAGGAGCTGTTATGTGTGCATGACGCATCACTTTTGGACAAGTTCTTGAAAAAATGGCGTAAGAAAGAGCTACAATTGAGGAACACGAGTATTTGTGTTCATGAGTATGTTTGTGCGTGTGATGTACACATACCTGTGTGTGCCTGGACATAACAGGTATAACCAGGGAGTAGGCAGAACATTAAGGAGATAGGAACTCAATACATGGAAGAGTTTTTTGATATTCAGAGATGTGTGTGTATGTGTGTGTGTGTATGCGCTCACATGCACACACACACGTGCATGCATATGTCTGTGAGTGGGGAGAGAGACAGAGACAGAGAGAGTGAGCTGTTGATGCAGAGGCCGAATGACTGCTTCCTGGGGCCTTCCCAACAGAGGCTTCAGAACCAATCAGTGTTTCACCTAGATGAGGTTTCAAGTCTCTCCAAGTCTGAGATTCTCAGCCAGATGCCTCCTGTCTATAGACGCACAGAATGGAAGAAGAGAGCTTCTTAGAGGTGGAGACAGGCATGCAGGCTCAATGCCACCCAAGTTAGTTGCATATTTTTGTAGTCTGATGCTCCTCCCCAGTCCTCTCATCCTTCTCTTGCCATTTTTACAGTTCTTGATACATGTGTTCAGAGTTTTTTATCTGCTGCCTTGTCTAGAACACAAAGGCTATTGGGTCGTGTCTCTGAGATCAGCCTTTCTGAGCCATGTTCTCTGGACCTTGAGCTTGCAGGAAGTTGGAGCAGTGCTGGTGAGCATAAAAGGGGAAGTCTAGTGACTTAGGGATGGGGAGGGCCATGGAGTTAAAAGGACAGCCAGGCTCTGGGTAGTAAGTAAGCCTTTCACAAAGAAAGAGATCCCCAATAAGTAGGAGCCAAGCCATGGACTGGCGAATTGAAGCAGTAAGCCATTTTCAAGGGAGAAACTCAGGAAAACAAGGAACAAGGTACCAGAATTAGGATCCCAAAGACAGCCTGGGTCTGTAGAGTATAGACCCATCCCTGGTGCCAGAGGAGAAACGAACAGCAAAGCTGGAAGCCCATAAACAGACCTCAGTTGTTGCACCCAGGCCTCTCTTACCCCACCTGTGGGGAGAGTGAGTCAGGGGAGAGGATTAGTACGAGACAGGGCCTGAGACATCATGAGGGCTGTGAGCTGCGTGTGGTTTCCCCTTGGGCTCCTGTGTAGATGATCCTCCCTGCTGCACTGAGCCCGCAGCTGTGTGACATGATTCCTGAGTCATGTTAGACACCAGAAGCTCTGAGAGCAGGATTACAGGCTTTGGGAGGTGAAATAATGATCTCCGAAGATGTTTACATCCTGACCTTAGGACCTTCATATATGTGTGATATGTCAGGGGGAATCAAAATTTCAGTTGGAATTAGAGTGG